TATGTAATGGGATTCTGTTGTAATGTGTGTGTGTGTGTGTGTGTGTGTTTTTTTTTTTTCATGTTTTCAAGCCAGTGCAATGTAATAATTACTAAATTAATCAGTTATAAATAAAAGCTTTGTGCATTTTTTTATTTGTCAGATTTGGTTTGTAGTCATGGCAGCAGTCACGGTTTGTTCAATTTTGTTGCTTAAAGGTGCAGTGCGTAACATTTCTAGTCAAGGGACCGCCACCTGCTGGTCTCCATGGAAACTATATAGCTTGGAATGTGAATGGAATGTTAAATGTATCCATCTTGCGTTTACTCCAACGTTGGTTTTTATCAAAAATATGAAAGTACTTATTTTGAGGTCTAATAAAACTTCAAATGTAGTGATTTTAATACAGACACATACCTATCTGCTGTATTTGTATATTTTTGTTTGCCCACATTAAGAACGTGATAAAAAAAAAAAAAAAAAACCTCAGCCTTTTCAGCAGATCCCACACACTAGTAAAAATACTTTCGAACTTTTACAAAGTTCAGAGTGTGTGTGACTTACGGACAGAGAGACCGCACAGGAAGTTAAAATAAGATGAAATGTTTTTCAAATATCTAAATATGGAAGAGAGATGAAGATCCTCCCTGTCTGTTTCACACCTCTTCAGTATCTCAGCTACAAATCGCTTTCATTTCTAAAAGTGAAAATACTACTATAGCATACAGTAGTGGTTTTTAAATCGTATAATTTGTATATTTGTATATAGTAGTAGTAGTCGTAGTAGTAGTAGAATTATTAGTAGGACATAGTAAAATAAGGAGTAATAAGTATTTGAAATAGAATGAAAAAGAGTACTGCAGTTCTCAATTAGAAGTTGAAGTAGTAGCAGCCTATTCTTTTAATAGTAGTAGCCTAGTAGTTGCTGCAGTACGGTAGTTATAACAATAGTCATAGTAGTTGTAGTAGTGGTAGTAGTAGTAGTAAAATAATGAGTTGAAGGAGCCTGGTATTAGTAAAAGTATCAGCAGTATTAGTTGTTGTGTAGAGTAGTAGTAGTAGTAGTAGTTGTAGTAGAATGAGAAGTCAGCGTGGTATTGGTAAAAGTACTAGTAGCGGCAGCAGTCTATACTTTTATTAGTAGTACTAGCCTATAGTTGCAGAAGTAGCTGTAACACTAGTAGTAGTGGTAGTAGTAGTAGTAGTAGTAGTAGTAGTAGTAGTAGTAGTAGTAGTAGTAGTAGTAGTAGTAGTAGTAATAGTAGTAGTAGCAGTAGTAGTAGTGTAGTAAAATAGTAGTAGTAGTTATTAGTTAGTAGTAGTATTAGTTGTTAGTTATTATTATTGTAGTAAAGTTTAGTTAGTAGTAGTAATAGTAGTAGTAGTATTTGTTATTGTTATATAAAGTAGTATAGCAGTAACATTAATCATTGTTATTGTATAGTAATAGGAGTAGTAGCAGCAGTAGTAGTAGTAGTAGTAGCTGCAGCATTAGTAGTAGTAGTTGTAGTAGCAGCAGTAGTAGTAGCAGTAGGAATAGTAGTAGTAGTAGTAGAAAATAGTAGTAGTAGTAGTAGTAGTAGTATTTGTTGTTGTTCTATAGGTTCGTATTAACTATTGTCATAGTAGTAGTAATAGTAGCAGTAGTAGTAGTAGTAGCAACAGCAGTAGTAGCAGCAGCAGTAGTAGTAGTAGAAGTAGTAGTAATAGTAGTAGTCATAACAGTAGTAGTAGAAATACTAGTCATAACAGTAGTAGTACCAGTAACAGTAGTAGAACGAGTAGTAGTAGAAGTGTGCCAGTAATTCCAGAGGGAAAGTCTAAACATGTCATGTTGACACAGCCACAAACACGAGTCTGCACTTGTGTATTTTCACCTGTAAGTCCCGGCCACATCACACTGCAGCTTCCTCTGTGTGTCAAAACATCTGGAGCACGAGGAGCAGAGCAGAACTATCATCTGTTCACATCTGATCTGATCATGGAGGACACACAGCTAGTCCGTGTTAGTACCACTAGGGGGCATTACTTCAGTCCTGTTTAAAAAGATAGTGGAGTAGAAAGTACAGATACCTGCTCTCAAATGCAGAGGTGGGGACTTGCAAGTTGTGACTTGGACTCAAGTGAGACTTGAATCACTATTTTTAGGACTTGAGTCTTGACTTGATAAAATGGGCTAAGACTTGGGTCTCAACTTGGACTTGAAGGTCAATGACTTGGTACTTGACTCGGATTTGAGGCCTGTGACTTGAGAAAACTTGAAGCTCTTTTAAATCTGAATTCTTTCTATTGTGACCATAATGATTCACAATAAGATCTTGTCAAAACATTTAAAAAGGAAAAATTAACTGAATTAATTTCTACAACTCTTATATACTTTATAAATACTCATACATATAAATGTACTATGACTTTATAAGCACAATTTATCTTAAAAGTCAAATAAATTGCAAAAATCTAAGCTATATTTGGTACTTTGGTTTAAAGACGTGAAATGACGTCTTTAAACTGCAAGTCCAAGTCGTCTGCTTTGACTTGACTTGGACTTATGGGCCAGTGACTTGAGACTCAACTTGGACTTGCCTGTATTTGACTTGGGACTTGACTCGGACTTGAGGTCAAAAACTTGTAGTGAAGTCAAAGTAAAAGTATCCACTGTAGAATCTACTTAAAGCTGCACTGTGTAACTTTTCTCGTAGATGGTAGATCAGCCAAGTCAAACTCAGGCCTGGGGGCCAAATTTGGCCTGAGATATAATTTTATTTGGCCCGCAAGATCATATCAAATATCTATTAAAGCTGCCTGCCAGCTACAGATAGGCTATAGAGATATTATTTATTTAAAATTGTGTTGTTATTATTATATACATTATGCTTGTTCTGGATTCAGTGTTTAAGCAAAACTATTATTAAACATTTATTTTAATAAGAAAATTTAATTGAACTGAAATTGAATGTTCTACAACATGGAGTTTAATTTAACAATCTTCATGAAAACAAGCAGCCACATCACCAGGCCAAGTTACAGGTCAGATCTGAGGAGAACTGGGTCTGCTCACCTCATGGTAGGAATGCATGTTTTTAAGATAGTTTTGAGAAATAAAAACTCAAAATTTTCAAATAAAAAATTCTATTATATTAGTTTAATGCCATATTGTGGAACCTCCCAGGCAAAGCAATAACATCACCCTCCACCCATGGAAGTGGAACCACCAGAAAAGTTACATAGTGCACCTTTAAGTAAAGTGCAGATACCTTTTTTTTTCTTTAAAAAAATCTTTCTAAAAAAAATCTTTAGCACGTTGAGTAATGCAGGAATGATCGTCTATCTAAATAATGGAGGGCAGTCACACAGTTAGTCCGTGTTTGTACCGCTAGGGGGCGTCGCTCTGCTTTGTATTAGGTAATTACGGGTCTCACTACGGCTGCTTCCTCACGTCTGTTTTGCCCCGGGTCAAAAACAAAACTACAATGCTTTAATAACCAACGGTCTCTCATTTGAATGTTGGGTAACTTTGTGCAAACCTGTTTAAGTAACACTGTCGATGAGTTGTGTTACTGGAGTTCCTTATTGGTGTATGGGAATTTCATAATGATTGTTGTGATAGGCAGGTGTGCATAGGCCAATATTGCAAATGTCCCTGGTATTTTGTATGCTGGCACGCAAAACAGTTTATTTTGAGTCTGTATTTCAATGTAGTGTTGTCACGATACTAGAATTACTAATAAAAACATGCTTTATGTAGACAACAGTTTGTAATTTTCAGTTTTAAATTGCAGTGCTTTCTTTTTTTATTCCAATGTGGCCTTATATGTGTTTAATCCCTCAGTGGTCCATGGGCGTATAACTAATCTATGTGCTATTCTGTTCTGTAAATGTGACTTTTTTTTGAGTATGGATACCTGCGAAAAATGAGGTCCGAGACTTAAAACCAGAGAGCTTTATGCATTTTAATACTTTTGATTTAATGTTTTATTCATAATTTACTTTGCAGCACTTTGAAAACTGTAGTGTTTATAAGATGTGCTATAGAAATAAAGTGGACTGGATTGAAAGTACCTGATTTTTTACTTTTTACAACATTACTTTAATATTATATATATATATATATATATATATATATATATATATATATATATATATATATATATATATATATATATATATATATATATATATATAAAATCAGGCCTATTTGTAGTAGCCTATAGTTGTAGAAGTAGTTGTAACAGTAGTAGTAGTAGTAATCGTCGTCGTCATAGTAGTATAGGCCTATAGTAGTAGTAGTAGTAGTAATAGCAGTAGTAGTAGAAGTAGTAGTAGTATAGGCCCTATGGTAGTAGTAGTACTATAGGCCTATTGCAGTAGTAGAAGCTGTAGTAGTATAGGCCCTATTGTAGTTGTAGTAGTATAGTAGTATAGGCCTATAGTAGTAATAGTAGTAGTAGTAGTAGTAGTAGTAGTAGCAGTAGTATAGGCCCTGTAGTAGTAGTAGTAGTATAGTAGTAAAGGCCTATAGTAGTAGTAGTAGTAGTAGTAGTAGTAGTGGAAGGAGGAGTAAAAGGCTAGTGCACGCAAATCGGCTATGCTGTAGGCTATCTACTATTTTATTACTTATGGATGTTGTAAACTCGTCTAGCTACAAGTTTCTCACATTATCTTACCTGCTGTGGGCAAAGTTTTATAAACTTTAGCCGTCTACTCAGGTTTGAAAAACTCATCAAAAATGTTGCAACTAAAAGGTCAAAGGTGACTGCAATACAGACCTTGCGCTAGCATTGTCTTCTGTTTTAAAGTCATTTGTTAGCTTGGACTACTTCCTGTCTGTTTTTGGTCGTAACACACTTTTCTGTGTTAGCCTATTGCCAAATCATTCAGCTGAGATCTCTCCTGTGCTCACCCACGCGTTCAAACTAGAAATAGTGGGTCTTGTGTCCGCTCTGAAAATACCTGCACGCAAAGACACCTGCAGGAGGGGGCGGGGCTTAGTGCGACAGGTGTCAGTGCTTACCTGCGTGCGTACAGTCTGCTCGTGTCCTCCAGCGACTGAAGACGTTTGAGCTTAGTTTAGCCAGGACAACGCGATTCGGACAGATACACAAGCATTTTCAATTTTGCAGATTTCTGCCGTTTTCATAACAATAGCTGCACATTTTTAGCACGTGTAGAGAAATCGCGGACTTTGGAGCAACGTGGTTTTGGTTTGATAGCGATTTTGGGAATAACTTTCGCTTAAAACTCTGCATTACGGACTTTCACGGCTTCTCCAATGAGATTTCTGTAAAGATCTTTGAAAGGAGAGATACGTTTGACTGGAGTCGATTTTAAATTTAGTTTGACGATGGATTTGTGTACAAAAAAGACGTGCCCGCTGTTGCTACTACTACTTTACGGTAAGTTTGGCACCTAGCGGCTTCATTCACAACTTAACTTTTAACACTATCTTTAACTCACTTTATCTCACTCATTAACTCCTTCTTGTTAAGCTAATCTATGCATTAGAGGCTTACTGCAATGCTGTTTTACTTGTTTTACGTAGTCTGAAATTCTTAATGTAGCTCATTTTAACATGTTTTATTTATTTTTTTTCTGTAGATTCGTTGAACAGAATCCGTGTTTATTTATGTTGAACTACATTTGGCATACAACATATATACATATATATATATATTTTATTTTTTGTATGGTATTACTTTCATTTTTCTAGTTCTGTGTGTCGCCAGGTAATTTGCAGTTGCTTTTATGCTCTGTTCAGTGTGATGTTTTGTTTTGTTTTAGCTGCTTTGCTGAGCTTAAACTGGTTCCTAAATAAGCAGGTTCATACTGTCCTCAACGTGCTATTTGCGCAAAGGCGTCACTGCACACTTCAGGGCCCCAGACGCACCCAGCCCTGGGGCCCCACGTAGTTTTATAATCTATAGTTAAATTGGTCTGAAATTGGGGAGACCGGTTTTCTTTGTCAATTTTCTAACATATGAATTCCACCTTAAAGATGCACTGTGTACCTTTTTCGCTATACTTGTCACCATGGAGATGTTACAGTTTTGTTTTGAATCTTTCACAGTCCCGTATTTTTCAGACTATAAAGAGCACCGGATTATAAGGTGCATTAAGCGAAACAAACGGACGACACTTGAGACTGATTCCTTACCCCAGGTGTCCACGATCCATTGGATGCTGATGCTTTCAGCTTTTGTCGAACTAAGGACTGTAAATTGGGCTTTACTCCATGAGACTCCTCACTATGGTAGCCATAATGCCCCGACAATCCATCAAACGGTGCAGCTTCGTAGCTTACTAAAACATTTTGACAGATTTTTGAGTGCCGTGTACCATGATTTTTGAAAAAATTGAAGGATTTTAAGTGCGCCATATAGTCCGAAAAATACAGTATATAAATAAACTTGATTAGAGTAATGGAGACAAGTTAGTGGTCAGATTTATGAAGGCCCAAGCCTGCACATATTACGAATTACTGGTTTTCATGACATTTTTGAGCTGTAAAACATCTGTAATTGAACAAATGCAAAGCAAATATCTTTAATGCCATACTGAGGAACATTCCACGCAAATAAATTACATCTCCATGGAGACAAGTTAGCAGTAGACCTTAGAAGTTACCTAGTGCACCTACAAGGGAGCTGTATGTAGCCTGTACTGCCTAAACCTGCAAACACAGGACACATACAGGTTTTTCTCAGTATCACATGCTCACATGCCTCATGCGGAAGCTCAATGTTCATAATTCCCTCTCTGAGCTGCAGAGGCTGCACTAGCACTGACTCATGCTTGGTGCAGGTGCTGGGGTTTAGGTAGTGACCATTCAGATCAGAGAGAGGCACTTCAGGTTTAAACCAACTCTTTCTGAATGGATAATTGTCTCGAACCAAAACACCAATTTAGAACATAAACAACTTGGCCATCCTGTCCCATATTTTTGTAATTAAGATTAAATCAGCTTTAGAATTTTCACTGGTAGCTCTATGTTTGATTTGAACATTTGTCTCATATCTTGGGACACAGATGCCTTTGTAATTTATTTAATCTATTTCTTTTGAAACCATTTCCACTTATAATTTCCAGTAATTAACATCAAACTTCTAACGTCTGTAATATCAAACTGCTAACGTAGGTAATAGTTTTATTATGACTATTAGTAATGTGTAGTGAGATGAACTTCTTCTAACCCTGTGATTACAAGAGTCCTATTTCCTTTAGGCAGGTCAGACACATACCAAAACTTAATCTCACTGAGAAGCTGCATGAGAAAGGTGCAGAGATACATTTTCCACACAGATATCTGATAAGGTTAATGTAGAGAACATATTTTAAATGCCATCGCGTGCCACAGTGAGGAAACGATGTGAAGTGGTTTGTGCAGTTACAAGTTAAAGTGCAAATATTGTGCAATTTTCTGATCTGTGTTCTAATGTTTCTCCATCACAAACAGAACTGGAATTGTGTTTTGTTTCATTCACACAAATCCTGTATATTTAAGCTTCTCTGAAACTGAAAACATTTTGTTCCACCTTGATGTCATGTGGTAATACAGAAAGTGCTCCACTGTGTTTTTAAACTTCATACACCATTTGAGCCCTGGAATTGCCAGTTTCTACTGAAAATGTAAAAGGAGCTGTTAACTTGAAAACATAGCATTTTGACCTCTGGAGTCGTAGACAGACTAATAATAAAGTGTTACTTAAACATGTGCAAATGAAACAAAACACAACTCCAGGTCTGTTTCTGAGGCGGCAACAACATTCTAACATGGCTTACAAGAATTAGTTTGTGTAATATACGACCTGCAGTTGATTCACATTTTGATTGAACGTACTTTGACAAAATAACATATTTACATGACCAGTACAGAACTTTGTATGGAAAAAGAAAGTTGGCACCATAGTTATTAAAAAAGGATGCTCATTTCCGTCTAAAAGTGGTTTTAAGTTAATTCTGGTAATAATTAGAGTTTAATTCATTTCAGGAAGTTGCTGCTGAAATCCTCCCCACGCTTTATTTGTGAAACCAATTATTGCATTAGTACAAAATCACTTAATCCATTAATGACTTTTGTTCAAACACTGTGCTCTCAGGAGAAAATCATGGTTTTTAGATATTTTGGAGTATGACTTGGTCTGGTGGGATCGTACCTGTAATACATATGTGTCATAGTTTTACATCAGTTAAAGCTGCACTATGTCACTTTTTTGTCACCTGCTTGTTTCTATGGAGATGTCATTGCTATGCCTGGAATGTTCCGCAGTATTACATTAAACATACATTAAATAACTCCACCATACACGCCTACGTCTGGTTTGGTCTCCATGAAGATAGAAGGGTTTAATGCCATACTGTGAAACATTTCTGAGAAAGCAATAACATCTCCATGGAGAAAAACATTTGAGAAATCCTCCACCAGAAAAGTTACACAATGCACCTTTAAGTGGCAGTTTGTGGGAAACAGTTGAGGAAAAAGGTACAAAAATGCAGGAAGTAGTGGTAAGTTGTAAATCAGAATACCTCTATATCACTAACACCGAAAATGACTGAATGAATTAACTCATCACCAATTCTATAATAACAATCTCGATACTTTTTGGCCCTTTTTAACATGATGGTTGTTCGGTAACAGTTATGTAATGACCTCTATGTACGTCATCATATCTGCTGCCAGTGTCCCCGTCAGGAAGTACAGTTATAAATTATTTAATTAAAAAAAAAGTTTTGGTAGTGTTAACTAGTTGTCTAAATCTGTGAGCTTTCATTTGAGACATTATTTACACTTGACATCATGCTAGGGGGTTCTACATATATCTCTAATGGTGAAATGTGTAGGAGTTTCCATGGCGACACAATGCCTACCTTAGCAAACACCGGTAAAGATTTAAGATTGTCCAAAAAATTGATTTAAAGAGTCTGTGATCAGTCTGAGCATTCACGTTTCTGTTTAGGAGTCTGATTTTCAACAAAAAAAAGTGAGAGTGACCAACTGAAAAACTGTCGGCATAATGTTAAGTAACTTGCAACTGTGACTTTAGGTGTGAAAGACTTGTTTGACAGCAAAAATCAGAACCGTTGTTGTAATTCCAAGTAAGTCAGCTCTTTATGGTCCGCTTGTGTTAAAGTAAAGATCAGATTAAGTCTAATTTGAGCAACAGAGCTTCAGACAGAGCAGAGCCTGCAGTTAGCATCACACCCCCAAGGAGTGTTGATGACATCAGCCACAAAATATCAAGTGAACGTTAAATCGATCGGGACAGGCGTAATGATGCTAACGATGTTTACGTGATGTGAGTGGTCCGACCCGTCAGCTTTCACATTCTAGACGTTAGATCCAGTCTTTAGTTTAAGACTTTTTGAGTAATTACAAGAGTGACACACAGGGAGAACACTACAGGGAGTTAATGAGTTTGTGTAGTGTGTTTTTCTAAAGGATCTGATGGTGTCTCAGGTGTGTGAAGATAATGACAGATGAACAAAAGACTCTTTGGATGTCAGCAGACCCTAACTAGAACTAATGCAGCTACACATTTATTAAACTGGTGTTGATTTAAGCTGTAAAAATTACATTGCGGCATACATGACTGACATTAGAAGAAAATCAGGATAGTTTTTGTTTTGACCTTTTTGTTTAAACGATCATATATTGATCTGTTTATACTAGGGGTGTAACGGTACATGTGTTCGTGCCGAACTGTTTCATACAGAACGTTCGGTTTGATGCAGGGCTATGCATGAGTGAGTTCACGCAAATTGTGTGTGTTTATATTCCACCATTACATGTGCAGCTATGCAGAAGGCTCGGCTCATTAATATTCATGAGGGACCTCGTCCGTGATTGGGGTGGCAGTGTTTCCTGCAACACTTTATAGTTAGGGCAACGCCTTAACAACAATTGCATGCTGTGCCATGCCATGACTATATCCTTCTGAACCACGTGAATCCTCGCAATACTACGGTTGTCGCGCCCCAGTCCTCTCTCTCGCCTTTCTCCGGTGTGAAATATTGTGTAAAACTTCATGCTGGAACTGTTAGTGCTGCCCTTTACTTTTTGAAAATTTTGTGTACTGTTTACAAGGAATTTATTTTTTATAATATTTCATACATTAGTTGCTTATTTTAGAATATTTGATTTAACTTATTAGCGTTACCACACAGCACTTTGCATTTATTTAATTTTCCCGTTTGTAATGGTAAAACACATTTTTGGTTTAATAAACACACAAATAAACAACAAGCAAATGGTTTAGCATTTTGTTCCCATACTATACCGAGAATGAACCAAACCGTGACCTCAAAAACAAGGTACATACTGAACCATGATTTTTGTGCACCCTTACACCCCTAATTTGGGTTGGGCATCATTAAGAAGTTGCCGATATGATACATACCT